CGGACCTATTGTACATGTTTTTAACGGTAGGAGAAACCTGGAGCACCTGGAGGAAACCTACACAGACACTAGGGAGAACATGCAAACTCCACACAGAAAGCCCTGGAGGTGGAATCGAACCCAGCAGTGAAACACAAGCTGTACCCGTGTTCGGGAGCCTCCAAGATGACTGCTGTGGGAGTCATTCAGGTAGTTGTGACTATGTGGTAAAGTCCAGTTCATTTTATCATCAGGGCTTTTCAGAATTCTCACACAGGGAAAGTTGTGTAAATGTTGTGTAGCAGAACCATGAAGGTGTGTGGACTTGTGGACCTGATCAGATAAAGTGCTGGACGCTCATAAAGGCCTGTTGTGACTGTACCTTTCCGAAGCGTTCCGGTACAAGGACCGAGCCGCCATTAAAAACCCATTTCCTGTTTAGAGTCAGATGGTTTGATTGGTTCACAGAAAGACACTCTTTTCTTGGCGTTCCGTAACTGAGGCCAAATGCACTGAACCTGCATTTCTCTGACTTTTCCATTTAAACCGATGACAAACTTTGGTCCGGTCTTTGTCGATTGTTTTTGTCGACACAGCAAAAAAACAAGAGGTTACGGCCGATCTGCTTCTGCTCCTAAAAAAACGCCATAATCTCACATTAATACATTTTACACTACATTTCGTTGCCACAGTAGTGTGCGCTAAAATGGAGCCGCGGCGGTGAGATGCTAACGCTAGCTTCTCCCGCTCCCAACTGACATTACAGAAATCTTTACTCTGCAAAATAACTTATGGGAAGTTTCACTCAAAATCTCTGCCTACATGTTTCACATAAGGTTATGATAAATATATAACAAGTTCAACTGACTGTTTCTATTTAGATTCACCAAAATATAACGGTTAAATCGGTTCACGCTAGGACATCATTCAGAAACTACTAGACTAGATATGATTTTAACTGCTCCCATTCAAAACAATGGATTTCTCTTATAAATAAAGTAATCTATAAGGTTTTTTAAGTGCTAAAACTGTAGAATATTACTTAAAATACAGAAAAAATTGTTTGTTGAAATGCTACCAAATGCTAACTGCTAACCGTAAACAGGGTGTTGCCATGGAAACTAACACTTGCCCATTCCTCCATGCAGATCTCTTCTAGAGCCACATTTATTCTTCAATCTCGTCAAAATCTCATCATACATGGTCTCATTCATTCTTTCCTTTACACTAATCAATCGTGTTGGTATCTTTGCGGGGGGGAAAAACAGCCCCAAAGCATGATGTTTCCACCCCCATGCTTTCTTTGCGCAATTGGTGGCTGACTTATTACTTTTTCCCCACTGTACCTCACTTGAATATAAGGCATCCTCCAGCATACATTAGTTCCTCACACTCAGGACTTAAAGATGACGATAGAATTGCAGGTTTGACTCACTGTTAAGAGGTTGGAGATCCTTCTGTTGGCGCCTACAAGACGTAGAGCAACCAAATTGTTATTGTGGCGTCAGTGTCTGGGCGGCTCATTTAAGCTAGATTTAAATATGTGGACATGTCTTGTGTGTTGAAATAGTTGGTGAGACGAGTCAGTGTGGAAGCTTTTTGATCTCAGGACTTTTCTAGTCTTCTTTATTGCTTACAAAGTTGAAGCCCTGGGTTCTTAATTAGTTTAGTTTAATTAATTTTTGTGACTTTTTCTGTTTATATGTTATTTCTATGTCATTATTTTTATGGAACTTTTTTTTTATTTCTGAAATGTGAGAAGCTCTACCTTTAACTAAAATTCAAACGTCGTCATTTTTGTACTTTCTAGGGCAGTTAAAGCCCTTTTTTCAAGGTGCTGGTCCTGGACTGACTTTGGACTGGTTATGGACTGGTTTTGGACTGGTTTTGGACTGGTCCTGGACTAGTTTTGGACGGGTTTGGACTGTCCTTGGCCTGGTTTTGGACTGGTCCTGGACAAGTTTTGGACTGGTCCTGATTCAGTTTTGTTTTCTACTGCAGAAGTGTGAGTGCTGGTTACCGTAGCAACGAACTGTTTACTAGCATTTAACCTTTAGCATTAGCCTTTCAACAAACCGATTTTTCTTTGTTTCATGTTATTTTCACAAGTTTAACACTTAGTAGATGTGAGTAAAGGTAAAGAACCTTATAAAAGACTTCCTTTTCCATAAATCTGATGAGAAACTAAACCATTTTTGAGGGAATCTCTCAGAATTCCGTGAGTTTGGTCTGAGCAGTCTTAACGGGAGTCGCAGTGTTAACAAAAGCCGGCAATAATCTCCAGTCCTCATTTCTCCTTCTATTTTTAGCTTCTGCTGCGTTCAGTTATGTCATGATTAGAACAGCGTCAGTGTTTGGAGGTCCACACCCTCTCTCTGCACCTCCAGCCCCGTGACTGAGACCTACTTTCGCTGCATTACATTCAGGAAGGGAGGAGCAGGCTCCGGTTTGAGCTCCAGCCGTAGAGTCAGCCCCGGGAGCTGGTCTCAGGGTGATGACCTCATAAGATTGGGTCCTCAACCTGTCCTTATGCAACACTCAGCAGGTCTGAGCAGGAAGCCCGGCCCCTGACACAGACTCACATCAGAAGCAGCAGGAAGGAAAGGAGCAGGGAGGAGGCCTTTCAATAACACAACGGCAAAGTTATACTTGTATTATTTCACCCTGGTTTTTGTGGCACCAGGCGAGTGTTTGGCCATACCTGCAGGTGAAAGCCAGATCCTTTCAGACCTCTGAAGCTAAGCAGGGCAGGGCCTGGTTAGTGCTGTGATGGGAGACCTCTGGGAACCCCAGGTGCCACAGTGGGGCGGCTGCGGCTGTAAAGTGCCAAACTGTAGTAAGACACTTCACCCACATTAGAAAGAGTCTGGTGTGTGTGTGAATGGTTGGTGGTGGTGGTGGTGGGAGGGGCTGATGGCACAGACTGGTTGCCCCAGGGCGGCTGTGGCTACAGTAGTAGTTTATCACCACCGTGTTTGGAGTGAAAGAATATTGACGTATGAAGCATCTTTGAGAGTCCAAAGAGCGCAACATAAAACCATCCATCCATCCATCCATTTTCTTCCCTTTAATCCATTTCTGGGTCAGGGGGGTGGCAGTCAGAGATGCCACCCAAGTCTCATAGCACCAGCCCCTCACTGACCCTCTGCAGGTGGTGAGTCCACAGGAGGACGGCTGCTCTCTGACTGTGAGCATAGCCTTGATCTTTCAGTGGGGGCTTTGGGCAAAGTGGGGTTAAGTGTCTTGCCCAAGGACACAACGACAGCAGTCATCAGTGGGAGTCGGTGGAGAAGGTGCAGAGGTGGGAATTGAACCCACGACCTTCTGGCCTTAAGGCCAATGCTCTACCAACTGAGCTACTGTCGCAACATAAAACCGATGCATTAATTATTATTATTTTTACTTAACTTTCCTTGGCGACTCTTGAGTCCAGCAACAATAGAGGCTCCTTCCACAGGGTCAGACTTTGATTAGTATCAGACAAAATAAGGAAGAGTTGACGTAACGTTTTTATCGCTTGATTGAAGGTTTTTGGTCCTGACTTCACCCCCCGACTAATTTTGCCTCTTCCCTTTTACTGCCCTTTGTTGAGTTATTTTCCACCGCGTGTCGGGCATATTTACATGTCAGCTCTGGCTCAAGGAAGTCTGTGTCAAACTATTATAAGACATTGTACAAGAGGAAGGAGTCATCAGCTGAGAGAGACTGTACTGCTCTGAGGGGGAATGCTCACGCCCAGGTGCCCACCGCGCTCACACATACAAACCAAACTGCTTTTCCTGTGGTAGCCCTTTCATTTGGTGTGGTCCGTGTACAAAAATGTGTTATTTCTATATGCCACGATGTAAGATGTAAATATTGCCCTGTGGTTTAATCATTTCTCACTAACTATTAAAGTGATGCTCGAATCAGAATTGCATTTTTAACATCAGTCACAGGAAAAAAGGACAATATTACTCTCTCCCCCTTTTCCTATTTCTTGATTTGTGAAGCAATTCCAGCTGCATTGTGTATGATTTGTGCTATACAAAAAGGGCTTTCTCTGTGGTCTTAAACCCAGAGCACAGGGCCTTCTCTGTGGTCTTAAACCCCAGAGCACAGGGTCTTCTCTATGGTCTTAAACCCAGAGCACAGGGCCTTCTCTGTGGTCTTAAACCCTAGAGCACAGGGTCTTCTCTATGGTCTTAAACCCAGAGCACAGGGCCTTCTCTGCGGTCTTAAACACAGAGCACAGGGCCTTCTCTGTGGTCTTGAACCCAGAGCACAGGGCCTTCTCTGTGGTCTTAAACCCAGAGCACAGGGCCTTCTCTGTGGTCTTAAACCCAGAACACAGGGCCTTCTCTGTGGTCTCAAACCCAGAGCACAGGGCCTTCTCTGTGGTCTTAAACCCAGAGCACAGGGCCTTCTCTGTGGTCTTAAACCCGGGGTCAGGGCCTTCTCTGTGGTCTTTAACCCAGAGCACAGGGCCTTCTCTGTGGTCTTAAACCCGGGGTCAGGGCCTTCTCTGTGGTCTTAAACCCGGGGTCAGGGCCTTCTCTGTGGTCTTAAATCCCAGAGCACAGGGCCTTCTCTGTGGTCTTTAACCCAGAGCACAGGGCCTTCTCTGTGGTCTTTAACCCAGAGCACAGGGCCTTCTCTGTGGTCTTAAACCCCGGGTCAGGGCTATAGCATTCAACCCTCTGAACTGCAGCTAACCATGTTTTTAACCCCAGTTTATGATAATTTCCCCATAAAACCATCTATATGTCCTGAAAACACATTATCCTACTCAGTTACGGCCTATAAAACTAGCTCCTTACTTTGCAACTAAGCGTTCCTACTTTTGCACACGCGCCGCATTGCACGCGAATGCCTCTACTAAAGTTTGCACACTCAGATCCGTGATCGTCGCCATAGTAACGCCCCACACATGAATACTGGTGTCTTATTGTGAGCCTGGCCTACTTTACCTGCGTCTGACTCATCACTGACCTGCTATCTGATAAAGAAGCTTTGTCCCTTCACGGCCTGCGCATATGTGTTTACCCCTCGCTTCCGGTTTCTTCTAATTCATCCGCGATAACAAAAGCCTGGTCCGATTCCAAACTGCGTGCTAAAAAAAAACACACACACGCAAAAGTAACGGATAAATTGTCTCATAAGTGGACGGTCATGAACTTGCGTGGGAGTTTTACAGCCAGGAGAAAAACCAAAGTCCACCTAAGAGTGCAAGACGTCTGTGACTTTGGAATTAAATGTTTTGTTGTCAATTCAGGCTCAAGGATTTATGCAAATATGAGGCTTAGAAGGACCTTTTAATAGGACCAAAATGTAAAGCTAGTTCTGCTTGAGTGTGAGACAAGGTGTAGGCCCCCTCGGCTCGGTTGATGGTGCCCCGCTTCCTGATTTCAATCGCCGCTTGTATCCATCTTTTGTATTTTTGTTCTTTTAAAGGAATAGTTCACCGTTTTTACATACTGACATATGTTCTTACCTTACCTTAGACTAGTTAATACGTACCTGTCTGGTCTTAGTCCGTGCGCTCTGTCATGCAAACGGAGCAAAAACTGGAGCACAACCGCAGCCTCCTCTGTATATTTTGTAGCACCAAAAGGTAGCTCCCGCTAGAAGCTACCAAACTCTTCCAAGTGTTCCCTATTAAATGTATATAGTTACGTGACGTGTTACACTGCAAAGTATAGTAACACAGAAATGTAACAGTCGATTTTCTCAGTGGATAAAACGGGTACTATATTGTGAGGCGTAGTAATCTGAGGGGCGCTACGTCCGCGCACTAACTTCTCTCCGGAGACTTCTCTCTCGCTCACTTCCGTCAATAGAAGCAGCGTGACTTGTAATACACACAGTAGCAGCGAGAGAGAAGTCTCTGGAACATATGTCAGTATGTACAAACGGTGAACTATTCCTTTAAGGTTCTTATTAAAAGGACCTTCTAAGCCAATTGATAGTAATGGACGATGCATGTTATACACCTATTTTCTCACATAAACAACCACATTTAATTTATTATAAAGTTTTAACCCACCACATTATTAGAAGCATAAAAAACGTTTAGCTTTATGAAAAGTAAAAAATATTTCTGGTTTTGGTTAAATCCAAATATTAAACACATTTCATGACAAAAAAAAGAAATTAAAAAATACATTTATAATGTGAAAATCAATTCTAATGTTTTCTTTTGGCCCTGACCAGATCAAGGTTAACCCTAACTAACTTTTTTATGGATTCAAATATCTTTCCCACTTCTGCTGCTTTCGGATTGTCATAGTTTGGAGACAACTCTCTGGAAAACCTTAGATTAATCTAGAACAGAGGTCCCCAAACCTTTGAGTCTGAGGGCCACTTTAGTTTATCAAAAACACCCAGGGCCCAACAACACGGTTGGTTCAGGTTGTTTTGAGACTTGAACTGGATACACACACACACACTTACACATACACGCACACACGCAGTTCAATAGACACACACAATACACATACACTACAACACACACACTTACACTGCTATACACACACATATCAAATATACTGCAACATACACACACACACACGCAGTTCAATAGACACACATACATGCTCTGACACACACACTCATACACACCCCTGAGACACACAAACACTCATACGCACGCTCAGACACACACGGGTTCCCCTCCTCCAATCACCACGCCCGCCGCTCTGATGTCATTGTGATGTCATCAGGGGACCGCTGCTGTGGCTCGAGTCCTGTGCAGCTTCATCAACAGTAACATCATCCTCTGGCAGAGCACCACACGCGCACACGCACACACACACACAGGCACACGCACACACACAGCACATGCCTGTGATGGGAGGTGCCCATTCTTCAGCTGCTGCGCATTTAACAGTTGGAGTGGACGGTGCTGGACCCATGTGCCGAATGTAAACAACACAAAAAGAAACGGAAAATGAAGTGTGAGGAAAATAACATTGTGTTTTTCAACACTTGCTTTTTTGACATTCACTACAACAGACACACACAACAGACACACACTACAGCACTCACCCTACAAAACACATATACTGTATATAGACACACACAGACAGATACACAAAAACACACACAGACACACACTACAGCACTCACCCTATAACACACACACATATATAGACACAGACACAAATACACAAAAACACACACTACAGCACTCACTACAAAACACATATACTGTATATAGACACACACAGACAGATACACAAAAACACACAGACACACACTACAGCACTCACCCTATAACACACACACATATATAGACACAGACACAAATACACAAAAACACACACTACAGCACTCACTACAAAACACATATACTGTATATAGACACACACAGACAGATACACAAAACACACACAGACACACACTACAGCACTCACACTAGAACACACATTGATATAGACACACACAGACATACACAGATACACACACAGACATACATAGATATACAAAAACATAGACATACAAAGATACACACACAGACACAGATACACAAAAACACACACATGCATATATATATATACACACACACACACACAGACTTACATAGATGCACAGACACACATAGATATAAACACACAGATATAGATGGACACGCACAGATATAGACACGCACACACACAGATACAGAGACACACACACACACATACACACAGACACACACAAATGTTTCACTGCCTGGACTGCATTTTTGTCACACTTTTAAAAGAAAATTTAATAGAAAATATGTGTGTCTCCTGTTTTGTCTATGAACTGATATTTGCATAAAGATTGGACTAGCTTCTGATGCTAAGTGCACTAGCGTTGTTAGCTTCTGATGCTAAGTGCACTAGCGTTGTTAGCTTCTGATGCTAAGTGCACTAGCGTTGTTAGCTTCTGATGCTAAGTGCACTAGCGTTGTTAGCTTCTGCTGCTAAGTGCACTAGCGTTGTTAGCTTCTGCTGCTAAGTGCACTAGCGTTGTTAGCATCACATATATTGTATAAAGCAGTGAGTAAGTAGTGGACCTAAGCACTCTGTATTTGTTCTCATGTGGTATAATAAGAACCGTATAGGATTATCTCATCTCAGCTGTCGTCACTTTTAGTTTCAGGTTTAAAAACAATAATAAAGTCTTATCGTAGCATAGCATCTAACTAGCCGCAGTCTCATACAGGGGTCGACAAGATCCGTATCTCTCTCTTGCACTTGCTCGAGACGCTTTAGAGCTTCACCTGTTTAAACTCACAGAACAGTTCACAAAAGGTCTGGAAATTATAAACACAAGATTTATTTACAGTTAAACGCTATAAAGTAAGGACATAAACTGGATTCAAGGTGTGTTCTGTTAATGTTTCTGGAGTCTGGACCAATGGCTCTATGTGTTTGTTATCATTGCATTTCCTGTGTTTGTACTAGTTTTGATTCTCTGATTTGTTGTTGGTGCATCGACAGCTTTGTGAAGTCCCCTGAGATAACTTCTGTTGTGATTCGGGCCAAACTAAATAAATTAAATGGAGTTATGGCAGCTATATGGCTCGTATTAAGCATAATAGATCTTATTAGCCCCACATTGAGGAAATGTCAGTGTTGCAAGATAAGTGAACAATAACTCTATACTAAAATAAAATACAATTCTGACTTTAGCATAATAACGAGCGAGTGTAACCTCTCTAGCTTTAGCATAATAAAGAAGCTAGTATAAAATCTCTAGCTTTAGCATAATAAAATAGTGTATATTGTAGATCAGAAAAATATAGTTGTAAACATCTGTATTTGCAGCACAAGTGGTTCTATGTTATGTCCTCTTTTAGACTTGTAAGAAAGTAATCTTTTTTTGTATATTGTGTTTGAGGGTTTAGTCTGTTGCAAATAGCACTTATTCTTGAGCTGCCAGGAGCCAAACCTGTCTCTAGAACGTTACAGACGCTGTGACGAGACCAGTCCCTCTTTTTCAAATCCAAGAGTTTGTGAAACAGAACTGAAGAACACTGGAGCTCAGCCCCGCGGCGCCTGCTGGAAACCACCACAGACTTACAACACACCTGGAGCCCAGCCACCAGAACAAGCAGCAGCACAAAACCAGAACCAGGCTGAGGGAGGAGGAAGGAGCAGAGGGGAGGAGGAAGGAGGAGGGTGGAGGAGGACGGAGGTGGACAGGGGAGGACATTGTAGGACGGGGGAGGGTGGAGGAGAACGGTGGAGGGGGACATAGGAGGGCGGAGGAGGATGGAGGAGGACGGTGGAGGGGGACATTGGAGGACGGGGGAGGGTGGAGGAGAACGGTGGAGGGGGACATAGGAGGGCGGAGGAGAATGGAGGAGGACGGTGGAGGGGGACATTGGAGGACGGGGGAGGGTGGAGGAGAACGGGAGGGGGACATAGGAGGGCGGAGGAGGATGAAGGAGGACGGTGGAGGGGGACATTGGAGGACGGGGGAGGGTGGAGGAGGAAGGTGGAGGGGGACATAGGAGGGCGGAGGAGGAGGATGGAGGAGGACGGTGGAGGGGGACATAGGAGGGCGGAGGAGGATGGAGGAGGAGGACATAGGCGGACGGAGGAGGACGGAGGAGGGTGGAGGAGGAAGGGGGAGGGTGGAGGAGGACGGAGGAGGGTGGAAGAGGAAGGGGGAGGACGGAGGAGGACGGGGAGGAGGACATACGAGGGCGGAGGAGGAGGACGTAGGAGGACGGAGGAGGACGGGGAGGACGTAGGAGGAGAACGGGGGAGGAAGACATAGGAGGACGGGGGAGGACGGAGGAGGAGGACGGAGGAGGACGTAGGAGGACGGAGGAGGAAGGGGGAAGAAGGAGGTGGACGGAGAAGGGCGTGGCAGGACAGGGTTGGATAGATGGATAGAGAGAGAGAGATAGACAGACAAAGAGAGGTAGATAGAGCGAGGGATGGATGCATAGAGAGAGATAGAGAAAGATGTAGTAAAAAAAATAGATAGATTGAAATAAGACTAAATAGCTTTGTCCCGTGTTTTCAAATCAAGATAATACCATGATTTAAGCATTAATTATCTCATACGTGATGTATTTTTGCAGTGAACTACAAGTCTCTGGTCCAGGATCCGTGACGAGACTCTGACACCGTCTCACCGTTAGCCGCCGTTAGCACCAACACGCCTCGCGATCGGCTCCAGATGTGGCGTTGAGCGGGTCGCGCCTGGAGCCAAACGTACGAACTGACACAATACACCGGAGAACAAAGTCAGCAAACTGGAAAATGTGAAATATGTCGTTCCTGCATCATAGAAGAGGAAGAGTGGGGAGAAAAGCTGGAATGGCAGGGATCCCAGAGGAAGACTGTTTTACATTAGAGTCATAAAGTGGACTGGAAGAATCCAAACGGGATCAATAGCGGGTGGGCAGCGGGCCAAACCATGTCATTAACCACACATTAATCCTGGCAGCAGTCGCAGGGCCGCATTCCGACGGAGAGCGGTTTCTACTGCAGTGTTTACCAAAACAAGCGTCCCGGCTCCGCTCTGGTGGTTTCACGGTGACGTAGGAAAGCACAGTGTATCCTTGCTGCATGTACGCACGGAGAAGTGTGAGGTCATGGCGCTCGAGCAACACGCTTTTCTCACAGGAATACGAGCCCCAATGAAAGGAATGAGGAAGAATGCGTGAAAATAAGTAAAATGCTGCTTATATATGAAAAAAAAACAGATCTGTCAGAAGAACAAGAAAATATGACTTAAGATTTCTGAAAAAAGATAATAATACAAGCCCCAAATGACTTTATTCTAATTTAACAACATATATTTAAGTATTATTTACGTACAGTATTTATTTAAAAAAAAAAGTTTTCGTGTGTTAAATGTTTTCTTAATAAATAGCCTCACAAACTTATTTTGTTTTACGGGAAAAAAATACTTAAAACAAGCTTAAAACCTCACTGCTCTGACTTTTGTCTCTAAGATTATGAAGTATATTTATCTTAAAACTAGTAAAATAATCTTATGACAAATACATTCAAGCAACAAAAAACGTATTCTTAGTCTAATCTAGCACTCTCGCTCCTCAGCAAGAAGGTTCGAATCCCGGTCGGAACAGGGCCTTTCTGAGTCGAGTTTGCATGTTCTCCCCGTGTCTGTGTAGGTTTCCTCCGGGTGCTCCGGTGCTGGCCCCGCTCCCATCTCTGTGTGGACTGAGAGACCAATGCCCACAGTTGTAAACAGCTTTGATTCTGGTCTGTGAAAGGCGTTTGCTCAGTACAGTAGACCGAATCAAACCCTGAGGTCCACAAAAGGGTTGTGATTGGTCGAGGAGATTTGTAGTAATTAAGGATCGATTAATTGTGTAAAGGCCTCGATCACCACGGCAGTCGTCTCGCTGGAGTTTACACAGAAATGGCTCTAACTTGGCTAAACGTTTTCTAACTTGAGCAGATTCCGACTGAGCCTAAAAACAACAGGACACATCTCTCTTGGAATGAGTCACACTACTCAAGAAATGATTACTTTATATACCGTACCAATATTTGACCTTTTTTTGTAGTTTATGAAGCTGTTGATTTGCCAGCACAAACTTAAAAAAATATGTGGCAGAAAGAGAGTGATGCCTCCAGCAGAGAGAGGAGTGGGAGAGAGGTGTAGGGTCGGAGAGTGTTTGGGCCTGTGTGTTGTTTTTGTCTGTCTATCTGTGGTAGTGTCATGTATTGTATAGGTACTGTACAATTGTGTGTATTGGAAGTATTACGGCATGATATTGTTATAGCAGTGGATTGTGTGTGTGTGAGTGTGTGTCTATATCTGTATGTGTGTGTGTCACTGATCTCAAACATTCATAGTTTTAAACTCTTTCATACTTTCGGCCCCTGGGAGCTGTCATTCTTTAAATCTGGCCCTCGACCAACATGAGTTTGACACTGCTGCTCAACCATAAATTCACTTTCTCTCTCTGGTCTCTCTCCGGTCACTCTGTTTGGTCTCTCTCTAGTCTCTCTTTTTGGTCTCTCTCTGGTCTCTCTCTCTGGTCTCTCGCTCTGGTCTCTCTCCGGTCTCTCTCTTTGGTCTCTCTCTGGTCTCTCGCTCTGGTCTCTCTCCGGTCTCTCTCTTTGGTCTCTCTCTCTGGTCTCTCTCTGGTCTCTCTCTTTGGTCTCTCTCTGGTCTCTCTCTGGTCTCTCTCTCTGGTCTCTCTCCGGTCTCTCTCCGGTCTCTCTCTCTGGTCTCTCTCCGGTCTCTCTCTGGTCTCTCTCTCTGGTCTCTCTCTTTGGTCTCTCTCTCTGGTCACTCTCCGGTCTCTCTCTCTGGTCTCTCTCCGGTCTCTCTCTCTGGTCTCTCTCTGGTCTCTCTCTTTGGTCTCTCTCCGGTCTCTCTCTCTGGTCTCTCTCTGGTCTCTCTCTGGTCTCTCTCTCTGGTCTCTCTCCGGTCTCTCTCTGGTCTCTCTCTCCGGTCTCTCTCTTTGGTCTCTCTCTCTGGTCACTCTCTGGTCTCTCTCCGGTCTCTCTCTTTGGTCTCTCTCTCTGGTCACTCTCCGGTCTCTCTCTTTGGTCTCTCTCCGGTCTCTCTCTTTGGTCTCTCTCTCTGGTCACTCTCCGGTCTCTCTCTTTGGTCTCTCTTTTTGGTCTCTCTCCGGTCTCTCTGTCCGGAGCTTTAAACTCTTTCATACTTTCGGCCCCTGGGAGATATCATTCTTTAAATCCGGCCCTCGACCAAAATGTCCTCAAATAACATCTTAACTTTTTGACTTTTAAAAACAATCCAAAAAAAATGATACATTTACACATAATGAATGAATTAAACGTTTGGTCATACCTGTATGTGAAAGCCAGATCCCGTCGGACCCCTCAAGCTAAGCAGGGCAGGGTCTGGTTAGTGCTGTGATGGGAGACCTCTGGGAACACCAGGTGCCACAGTGGGACGGCTACGGCTGTATAATGCCTCCCCCACATTAGAATGAGTCTGGTGTGTGTGAATGGTTGGTGGTGGTGGGAGGGGCTGATGGCACAGACTGGTTTCCTCGCTTCTGTCAGTGTGCCCCAGGGCGGCTGCGGCTACAGTAGTAGTTTATCACCACCGTGTATGAAGTGACAACACTCCAGGTTGGCGCAGCTATTGGAGCTTGTGCTTCACTGCAAGAAGGTTTGATTCCACTTCCAGGCCTTTCTGTGTTCTCCCTGTGTCTGCGTAGGTTTCCTCCGGGTGCTCCGGTTTCCCCTACCACTAAAAACATTAGATTAGAACTGAATGTAATGAATGAGTGTTGGTTGGAGGTTTGATTACTTACAGAAGAATGTGAAGCGTCTTTGAGTGTTCGAAAAAGCTCTATTTAAAACCGTTGCATTATTATCATTAGAATTATTATTATTAGCATTAGCGCCTTCCTCTCTCACTTTTACAATATCTCACTTTTCACACTAAATACAAGACATGTGTCAAAATGTCCCCCTGACCCCCTCCATCTCCTAATCACATTTGCTGAGCACACAGAGTGGGGGGTCGACCGTGGCCTTATCTAAAGATTCTTGTTTAACTTTGCGCTGAAAGAAGGTTTGAAAAGTGACCGTCCAAATATTGTTTTGTCACAGAACTTCTCATGCATGTAGTCGAGTGTCATGAGAAAAACAAAATGATTCAAAGTTGTGAAAAAAAGGTCTTGTGCGTCCGTTGTCGTCCGGACGTCAAGGTGGGAGTTCATGGTGATTGGTATTAGTTGTTAATAAAGACGTATGAGGACCTGTGACAGCAACACAATCACAACCACATGGTTCCAAGACACAAAAACGAATAAAACATCCGTGTGTGTCCTGCTGAAAGCGGATCAGTCTCTCTCTCTGGTCTCTCTGTCTGTTTTTTCTCTGGTCCTTCTCTTGTCTCTGTCTGGTGTCTCTCTGGTCTCTCTGTCTGGTCTTTCTCTGGTCTCTCGGTCTGGGTTCTCTCTGGTCTCTTTCTGGTCTCTCTGGTCCTTCTCTGGTCTCTCTCTGGTGTCTCTCTGGTCTCTATCTCTAGTCTTTCTCTGGTCTCTCTCTCTGTTATTTCTCTGGTCTCTTTCTGGTCTCTCTGGTCTCTATCTCTAGTCTTTCTCTGGTCTCTCTGTTATTTCTCTGGTCTCTTTCTGGTCTCTCTGGTCTCTATCTCTAGTCTTTCTCTGGTCTCTCTCTGTTATTTCTCTGGTCTCTTTCTGGTCTCTCTGGTCTCTATCTCTAGTCTTTCTCTGGTCTCTCTCTGTTATTTCTCTGGTCTCTTTCTGGTCTCTCTGGTCTTTCTCTGGTCACTCTCTCTGGTCTTTCTCTCTAGTCTCTCTCTGGTCTTTTTCTCAGGTCTCTCTCTGGTCTCTCTCTCTAGTCTCTCTCTCTCTCTGGTATTTTTGTCTGGTCTCTCTCTCTCTCTGGTCAGATCAATGAACACGACTCGACCTCAGAAGGAGGAAGAGGAATAAAATAGTAATATGGTGTCTCTCTCTGGTCTCTCATACACTTCACGTCCTTATTCATTCACTCAATACTATAAACTACTATAGCCACAGCTGCCCTGGGGCACACTGACAGCAGAAAGGCAACCAGTCCGTGCCATCAACCCCTCCCACCACCACCAGCCATTCACACACACAGACTCATTCTAATGTGGGGGAAGTGTCTTGATTGACACTTTACAGCCGCAGCCGCCCCACTGTGGCACCAGGTGTTCCCAGACATCTCCCATCACAGCACTAACCAGTCCCTGTCCTGCTTAGCTTCAGAAGTCTGGCTTTCACGTACAGGTATGGAGACTTATATGATGTTTGGTGAGAGTCCTAGTAAAAAACGCTTCATGAGAAAAGCCTGAGAAAAGGTTAGCGTTGATGTAAACCAATAGAGATGAGTGATGACGGCTGGAAAAACACCAGAGAGACTTTGAGCTTTATTAAATTTCTGGCCATTTCAGTGAATCTAAATGAATGATTGTCCCTCCTCCAGGACGATTGTGATAACCCACATGCTAACACACATGCTAACATTATCAGCCGTGTCAAAGCTATTGGAGGAGGCTGAATTAGAGCTCTATTATCCCATTAGATTTGTTATTTTGTAGCAAGCCATCTGAGTTATTAGCTTTAGCGTTTAGCTCGATCACATCTGTCACATGACACTGGGCCAAGGTCTGGCTTTAATTATGAATATACTGACACAGGAATGGGACACACACACACAAATGCACACACATACAGGGAGGAAGAGGGACACACACACGCTCACATGCACGAGCACGCACACATAGACATACAGTACACACACATATTATACACATAGACACACAGAAACATACCCACATATACTGTACACACACACACGGAGGAAGTGGTGAGCTCCGGCAGAAGTAGCCTCTGTCGTTGGGATTGTGGACCCCCCGTGTGGGGCGCTGTCGTTGGGAATGGGGGCCTCGGTGTGGGGCTCTGTTGTTGGGAATGGGGGCCCTCGGTGTGGGGCGCTGTCGTTGGGAATGGGGCCTCGGTGTGGGGCTCTGTCGTTAGAAATGGGGGCCTCGGTGTGGGGCTCTGTTGTTGTTGGGAATGGGGGTCCTTGTGTGGGGCTCTGTCGTTAGGAATGGGGGCCCTCGGTGTGGGGCTCTGTCGTTGGGAATGGGGGCCTTGGTGTGGGGCTATGTCGTTGGGAATGGGGCCCTCGGTGTGGGGCTGTCGTTGGGAATGGGGGCCCTCGGTTTGGGGCTCTGTCGTTGGGAATGGGGGCCCTCGGTGTGGGGCTTTGTTGTTGGGAATGGGGCCCTCGGTGTGGGGCTCTGTCGTTGGGAATGGGGGCACTCGGTGTGGGGCTCTGTCGTTAGAAATGGGGGCCTCGTGTGGGGCTCTGTTGTTGGGAATGGGGGCCCTCGGTGGGGGGCTCTGTCGTTAGAAATGGGGGCCTCGGTGTGGGGCTCTGTCGTTAGAAATGGGGGCCTCGGTGTGGGGCTCTGTCGTTGGGAGTGGGGCTCTGTCGTTGGGAGTGGGGGCCTCGGTCTGGGGCTCTGTCATTGGGAATGGGGGCCTCGGTGTGGGGCTCTGTCGTTGGGAATGTGGACCCTCGGTGTGGGGCTCTGTCGTTGGGAATGGGGGCCCTCTGTGTGGGGCTCTGTCGTTGGGAATGTCGGCCCTTGGTGTGGGGCTCTGTCGTTTGGAATGTGGACCCTCGGTGTGGGGCTCTGTCGTTTGGAATGTGGGCCCTCGGTGTGGGGCTCTGTCGTTAGAAATGGGGGCTTCGGTGTGGGGCTCTGTCGTTAGAAATGGGGGCCTCGGTGTGGGGCTCTGTCGTTAGAAATGGGGGCCTCGGTGTGGGGCTCTGTCGTTGGGAGTGGGGGCCTCGGTCTGGGGCTCTGTCGTTGGGAATGTGGACCCTCGGTGCGGGGCTCTGTCGTTGGGAATGTGGACCCTCGGTGCGGGGCTCTGTCGCTGGGAATGTGGACCCTGGGTGCGGGGCTCTGTCGTTGGGAATGGGGGCCCCTGAGGATGGAGAGCGGGTGATGTGGTCGGAGCCTTGGCTGAAGTGTGTAAACTTTCCTGACCTCGGTTTAACTCCTGCAGTTTTCAGGACGTGGATGAAATTTGAGTTCTTTAGGAAACACCGAGATCTTTTTATGCACCCTCAACCAGCTTTGTTTTCTCACGTTGGACCATGATTCAAAGCAGATTATTTGGTTTGACTCCATCTTGGAATTTTAATGCTTTGTCGTCGATAGGTTTGAATTTAAGCAACACAAAAATGACTAAAACAAGGTGCAGACTTTTTTCTTTTTGACGTTATTGGTCAAAAGAACATCTGTGGCTCCATTTCGTGATGACTGACGTAAATCAAAACGTCAGTCGTCTTGAGGAGGAGAGTTGTCGATTTGCCAACACAGTTCAGAGAATCAAACAGGAAATGCAATAATAACAAACACACGGCTAACTGGTAGCGCGGCGGTTAGCACTTGTACTTCACGGCAAGAAGGTCCTGGGTTCTATACTTGTTTGTTTGGGTAGTTCTTTGCCCGTGGCGGCGGGTTAAGGACATTAAGGACATGTATGGGCCGTGGTTCATCCCGCTCCCAATGAACCAATGTCTCTTAGGTGTTATTATTCATTTCATGTTATCAAACGTTTTGATTCTCTGCTCTGTAGCCAGGGAACGTCGTAAAGTCCTCAGAGATAACTGCTGCCGTGATTCAGGGCTGTGCAAAAATGAATTGAGTTGAAGAAATGTAAACACAGACTGGTTGGTCCATGATTGATTTCTAAGGATTTAACTGTTTAACTTCTATTTACGTTTTGAGTTAAAATGTTTGAAAATATTGTTTGTGTATGTGTGTGTTTTTTTTTTTTTTTTTAGAATATGTGTTTTAAATTGAGATATAACATGCCACAGAAGCATCAATGCTGCAAGTTAACAATAATAATAAATAATGAATTAGGTAAAACAAAGTCGGCCAATCAATCTTTAATTATGTGTACGATCAAAAAAAGACTAACAAATAAGCAAAGAAGAATTATTTAGTTGAAAAAAGCATGTGGCGTAAAAATACATGAACAATATTTAAACATATGTCTGTGGAAGAGAGACACAGACATTAATGATGTTTGAACACGGAACATGCTGTGGACAAATGTTGCAGTAATTTATGACGTTTGGATGAAAAACTTGTCGTTGTTCCGTCTGTTGTTTCCTGTCGAGTTGTATTAGTGTTATTGTTAATGAAAAACAATAATAAATGTGTCCCAAAGGTTTAGCAAACACACATTTCACAGATTACAAAATCAGCCCATTCCACAGACTGCACACAGATGGACAATGCTAACCGCTAGCTCAATGTAGCCCAATGGGGAAGTGCTCATTGTGATGCTAACTTGTCGCTACTAAGAAAGAAGTCTAGGAGTAGGAACAGGAGAGGAAGAGTCTGTGAGGAGCTCAGGGTGTGAATGAGGACAGCAGACATGTTTTGAAATGTGTATTTTTATAGGTATTGAAATTATTTGAAATAAAATTTCAATAAAAAAAATATCCACAACAAAGTCTGTGGGCAAAAAAGTACGACAAAGTTTTGCTCCAACTCTAAGTAAACTCTTGTTGACCAATCAGATGCCTTCATTCACAGGGAGACTTCAGTTTTCCTTAGCAACCATGTTAGCAACACGTCTGCCAGTGTTACGGCGATAAGCTAGCGCTGTCGGAACAAACGCCCATTCACGGAAACTGACTCCAGCTAGCTTATGTTCAAATCAGCTAACGCTAGTCGAATCCTTATATACACTGTTAGTTACATTTGTTTACTAGCATTAGCCAATTTGACAATAAGGTAGCCAGTGTCAGTTTCCTTATATGGGCGCTTGTTCCGACAGTGCTAGCTTATGTTCAAATCAGCTAACGCCAGTCGACTCCTTATATACACCGTTAGTTACATTTGTTTACTAACTTTAGAAACAATAATGTTTTATGGAGCTTTCAGTTGAGGACAGACGCTTTCCCATAATCTCAGATACATTTGTTACACAACTCACAATTTATTTTTGCAATATTTGATGATTACCACAACAAAGGACTGTCCCCTCCCTCCTGTGGGAAGAGGGATTTCAGACCAGATAGTTTCATCCAGAAGTTGAGAAATGAGACAAAAAAATTGTATTTCAACAATTTCTAAATCAAGTCGACACAGAAGACTATCTGCGTTGCCAGATTGTGAATGTTATAAATAAGCTCTTTGTCATTTGGATTCTAAATAATTATTGTTTAAATTGTGCAATAATAATCTGTGTAATATTGGTCAGAAATGGACAAAGGGGAAGAGGATGGATAATAAAATGATATTATTATTAATCTTTATTAATTACTCAATACGACACGATCCATAGTTACAAGGATTCGTTAAAGTCAATCCTATACATTTATAAAAAAGCCTCGGACAGTCCCAGACTTTTAGTGGGTCACGGTAATATCTCCACGTGTCTCTGCGATTATGGCTCATTCTCTTAAAGCTGAGGTGCGTAACTTTGGTTTCTTTCATAACTCTTCTGTGCAGTTTGTGCGACACAGAGGCTTAAATGCTGTGAACAAACCAGACCACAACATGCCGTCATGGTTTATTTTGTGTGAGTCCCTCTGAGTCACTAACTGAGGCTTTAGGCTGAGGAAACTCTTTTTTGTCTCTTTATTTTGTGGCCCCACTACGACTGGGCGTAATGGCTGAAAACTATATCACGATATAAGTGATTCATATCGGTCGATAATGATAATTCTTGATTGTTGTTTTTAAACATTAATAAATACTTTTGTCGTGTCGGCTAACACACGTTAGCAGCTCTCGTTTACAGTCTCGGGGGAATGAGAACTCAGGCTGGAGGCACATGTCCACAAGCACAGTGTCCCCCATCGTCAGTCCAGGTTAAAACCAGTGGGGGAGGGTCCCGGCTCAAAAGTGGCCAAAATGACGTGCGCTGACATGCTGCAATAACACCCCGGGCCAATGGGGGTGGACCCAGAAGAAGAATTAGCCAATGCTAACATATAGCATTGGCAGACCTCGAAAACTTCTTTATAGGATGGACCAAAAGTTGTCTCTTGGCCCAAAGCTCCGTTCCACATGTGTCAATGCTGAGGGAGTGTTTTGGTCCACTATAGTTTACTTGCTGTGAATTTTTGAAGTCTCTCGTTCAAATGAATGGAGCTCTCGCCGGCTGACGAATGCGCAGATGCGTTTTTTCATGAAAGCACTTTTCATGGCCAACATCTATGAACGGCGGAGATATGACTCTGTCCGTTAATATATACAGTCTATGGTTTTTTCACATTTTCCAGCCCCCGCGGCCATTTTGATTCAATCCAGTACAGCCCAATTTTTGGCCCATTAGTTAGAACGGCAGAGATAGTCATGACTACGTCTGTTAATATATACAGTCTATGGTTTAAACTCTTGCTTTTGCCGCATACATCGAGTCTCCGCCGACTGCCTCAGCCGTGCCGCACATGCTATTCCTCTTATGGACGTGCATAACCAGTGACACGGCATTGAAACACGACGACTTTAGACACACGAAGGCAACGCTGCTTGTTAATTGTGGGGTTTTCTTTTTTTTTTTTTTGCATTTCCCAGAATGCCTTGCGGTTCATGCTTGGCCGTGATAGGTTTCGACTCTGGTGGTGAAGGAATCTGAGCCACGATCTCCCAGTTTGCTTTAGCCTCAATCTTCTTCTTCTTCCTTTCTTCTTGGTCTGTCTCTCTAGTTTCTTTCTGGTCTCTTTCTCTCCCTGGTCTCTCTCTGGTTTTTCTCTCTCCCTGTGTTATGGTGTGGATTTTTATTTCTGTATTTGGTTTTATTTTGACATTAGTTATCTGGTTTCATTTCAGTTTTACTTCATGTCCTGTTCCCCTCTTGATTGTCTGCCCCGCCCTGATGTGTGTCTATATGTACCCTGTGCTTCTCTCCCCTTGTTGCTGCTGCATTGTCTTGTCTAGTTTTGTCCTGGTCACTTTGGATTTTTGGAGTTGTTCTTTGCCTTGGACTTTGTTTTATTAAAAGCTTTATTTTGGCACTCCTGCATTTTGGATCCGCATTCATTTTCACCCCGTGACACCCTGGTCTCTTTCTCTGGTCTCACTCTCTCTCTGCTCTCTCTCTCTCTCCCTGGTCTCTCTCTCTCTGGTCTCTCTCTCTGGTCTCTCTCTCTGGTCTCTCTCTCTGGTCTCTCTCTCTCTGGTCTCTCTCTCTGGTCTCTCTCTCTGGTCTCTCTCTGGTCTCTCTCTCTGGTCTCTCTCTCTCTGGTCTCTCTCTCTGGTCTCTCTCTCTGGTCTCTCTCTCTGGTCTCTCTCTCTGCTCTCTCTCTCTCTCTCTGGTCTCTCTCTCTCTGGTCTCTCTCCCTGGTCTCTCTCTCCCTGGTCTCTCTCTGCTTTCTCTCAAGCACTTTTTACCTCATATTGACCATATTTTACATACACATACTGCACTTGATAATTTTTTTTGCAGTGTATCCTAAAAACAAACCCACGGGAGGATGACTTTGCTCCAACTGCTTCTCATTTGTCGTCCATCAATCACAATCCCAAAGTTTCCTCACGCCTCTCCACACATCAGACGCTCCTCAGATGTGATAATTGCCCGTGGATCCGTTGGCTGCGGTGGCGTGTTGAGTACGACGGGCCCCTGGTTTCAATAATAACAACTGCAACTATTTCGACAATCATCATCTGGGTTGCCATTCGCCCGTGTGAAATCAGCACATTCCTGTCCCGTCGCGTCACCTTGAGGCAAAGCAGAAGAGCCGATATGCTCTTGTGCAACGGGCTCGCGGTCCCCATGGCGATATGGATCCACAGGTCAAAGGTCAAATGGTCTCGTGCAACAGAGATCCTGAATGTGACGGTGGCAGCGATGAGATTAAAAACTCGGAACGTTTGGGTTTTTGAAAATAAGTGAAGGATCTGGCAACGTGTAAAAGTGTTATTGAATTAGTGCTTTTGTGGGAGTTTAAGCCCTGTTTCCACCAGCCCTACTCT